AAAGGGGGGCGGATGAGCGTGCACCCCCCCTCCCTGCCATACCAGGCCACATGCTCTCGGGACTGGGAGGGAGATCGTCCAGGCCCCTCCCCCCTGGAAAAGCACCTTGTCCCCACAAGCCCTGGGGTGTTAGTTGTGGGGGTCTGCCGGCAGGGGACCTTATTTGCATTGGGGTACCCCTTTAATAAAAGGACACCCAGATGCGGCCCCCCCTTGTGAATGAGTAAGGGGTACCCATTCACTAAAGGGTTAAATAAAATATAAAGAGACCAGAGTTTTAACAAAAATTATTTAATTGAAAAAAACATAACAAAAAGTTTTGACAATTCCTTTATTAATAAAAAAAATCTAAAAAATGTATCCAACGAAGTAATTCAGGGTCAATCACGACGTCCAGCATTGTCCACAACGACGCCGACTCGTCAAAATAAAAATAAAGAACGACGCCCGCCGACCCGACCTCATGCAAAGAACTTCCGCCGCAGAATGAAGACTCTGGTAGGCATCACTGCTAGCTCCACCCAACTGTTTACATTTGTCCGGCACCTGTCAGAGTCTTCCCGCAGGTCCCGGACAAATCAAAACAAATGGGCTCCGCCCAGTTTTTGTCGTTTATTGACACCCAAGTGTCCTCAAATGCTTCGGCAGACTGTTTTTCTCGCTTCGGCTGAGCCATTAGCCTACCTTCAGCTGCTGTACGGGCTATTGTGAATAGCCCATACAGCAGTCCTTCGGTTTGACTGAACAGAAGGGCTCCGGCGGCCGAAGTGAGCTGAAGGATCAGCCACAGCTATGACTAGACCCTTCGGCTCCATTAGTGAATAAACTTCTAGATGATTAGTTAAACCCAAAATAGTTTTTTTTCACCACTACTTTTCCTTTACACTGGCTTTTCGAACTAGCAAACAAGATAATTAAGAGACAGGATAAAGGTTTTGGTGCATAAAAACATTTTTGGTAGTAAAATTGTCCCTTTGCATAGAAATCTGTTCATCTTACCAACAAAATGGATAGCTGTGGAGGAAAAATGGACAGAGGTATATGTTAAAATGAGGGACAGTGCCTCTAAATCAGGGACTATGGCACCAGAGCCACCGAAGGCAGCGCTTGGCCATCTAGGCCACTGTGAGATACGGTTGCTTGTAAGTATTTGGCTGCTGCCATGCCCCCTTTACCCTTGGATTTTCAAGTTTAATTGAGCACTATTAGCAGCCATCTACCATCTTAACCCAGGTGTGTAATGAATGATCACAGGCAGACGCAAGCTTCCACAGAGCACAGAGTCTGCCCTCAGCTGTTCTAGGGGCTACTGGGTCTAAGGTCTGATTTTGTTGTAAAAAAAAAGGTAAAAATACATGAAGGAAGAGTGTTTTAAAACAGTAATGTTAATATAACAGTTAGGGATGCACAGATTTATCGGCCGCCGAAACATATCGGCTGAAAATGGCACTTTTGGCATAATGCCGAAAGTACAATTTTCCTGCCGATACATTGGCGCATCCTTGCTTTCTTTCCTCCCCGCTGGGCGCTGCTCTGTGTCCCAGCGGGGAGGAGAGAAACTGTGATAGTCAGCCGAGCGCTGCGGGAGGAGAGCGCTGTGAGTGGCCAGGGTCTCCTCCCACACTGCTCAGCCTCCTATCACAGTCCGGCAGAGCGGTGTGTGGGCGGAGACAGGCCGCACTGTCACAGGAGGCTGAGCTCTCCTCCCTACACCGCTCGATCAGCCTCCTGTGACAGCGTGTCAGAGAGGAGAGCAAGTGCAAACACTCAGTGATCAGTGATCGCTGAGTGTTTGTAGATAATTGAGGACATGGTATGTGTACTGTGTCCTCAATTATGAATGAATGGGAGAGATCTACATCACCTCCTGTACATTCATAGTTGTAGTTATAGTAAACACACCATGTCCTCATGTTATGAATGAACAGGAACACTCCTAGGGAATCCTTGGTTCATTTATAACAGGGGATACAGAAAAAGAGATTAAGGATCATGCATCACCTTATCTATGAAGCAACATTTCATGTGCCAACTATAGAGCATAGATGGCACATAGATTGTGGCAGAACAGTTGGCATATAAATAATGGAGCATAGGGCATGCTACAACAATGCATCTTACCTATGCAGCAACAATTAATGTGCCAACTATGCAGCACAGGTGCCTCATAGCTTGTGGAAGAACAGTTGGAATATGAATAATGGAGTGTAAAGCATGCTACACGAATGCCTTACCTATGCTGCAACAATACATAGAGTACGAAAGATTAGGACTTCTGTCAGGTTATTGTTGTCTGTTTCCCCTTTGGAGTGATTTTTCCCAATAGAAACATCTGGGACATCTCTTCAAGGGTGATGTTGGCAAAAACTCATATTTACTATGGGAAGGTGAGGTATCTCAGGAACAGGAAAATATTAAATTCTCCCCTATGGGATCGCAAAGAGAAAACTTAAAAACCAGACAGCAACTTTAATTCTTTCCCACACTATCCAGAGCTAAAACATGTCTGGGTTTAGGCATTAAAAATATCAGTTATCTAGAAATCTCACCTATATAAGTGTATTGTGAACCATCAATTCTTAATGTACAGCTGGTTATTGGATGTATAAAGATATTATTGGCATACCTGTTACCGCGAAATTAGAAAAACACTTAAACTGTGGTATAGGTTTTGGCATGAGATTGGTTTTGGCATGAGAATACTTGCTATTTTAAAGCCCAGCCAAAGCGTTTTATAAACATTTTTGGATAGACCTGGGAAGAGTAAATACTTCTGACATGTATTTATTGCTGCTGGTGACTATGTGGTGAAAAATTCACCTCACTTACTGTTGCTTTGACAGCATGTGGCATCAGGACAGAAAATGAGGGGAGAGGTTGTCACCAGGACAGATTTCAGTTTAGTTTCGGTTTTAAAATTTCCATTTCGGTGCACCTCTAATAACAATCCATGTGCCAACAATGCAGCACATGTGGCACATAAATTATGGCAGCACAGTTGGCATATGAATAATGAAGCACAGGGCATGCTACCACAATTCATGCATCACCTTATCTATGAAGCAACATTTCATGTGCCAACTATAGAGCATAGATGGCACATAGATTGTGGCAGAACAGTTGGCATATAAATAATGGAGCATAGGGCATGCTACAACAATGCATCTTACCTATGCAGCAACAATTAATGTGCCAACTATGCAGCACAGGTGCCTCATAGCTTGTGGAAGAACAGTTGGAATATGAATAATGGAGTGTAAAGCATGCTACACGAATGCCTTACCTATGCTGCAACAATACATAGAGTACGAAAGATTAGGACTTCTGTCAGGTTATTGTTGTCTGTTTCCCCTTTGGAGTGATTTTTCCCAATAGAAACATCTGGGACATCTCTTCAAGGGTGATGTTGGCAAAAACTCATATTTACTATGGGAAGGTGAGGTATCTCAGGAACAGGAAAATATTAAATTCTCCCCTATGGGATCGCAAAGAGAAAACTTAAAAACCAGACAGCAACTTTAATTCTTTCCCACACTATCCAGAGCTAAAACATGTCTGGGTTTAGGCATTAAAAATATCAGTTATCTAGAAATCTCACCTATATAAGTGTATTGTGAACCATCAATTCTTAATGTACAGCTGGTTATTGGATGTATAAAGATATTATTGGCATACCTGTTACCGCGAAATTAGAAAAACACTTAAACTGTGGTATAGGTTTTGGCATGAGATTGGTTTTGGCATGAGAATACTTGCTATTTTAAAGCCCAGCCAAAGCGTTTTATAAACATTTTTGGATAGACCTGGGAAGAGTAAATACTTCTGACATGTATTTATTGCTGCTGGTGACTATGTGGTGAAAAATTCACCTCACTTACTGTTGCTTTGACAGCATGTGGCATCAGGACAGAAAATGAGGGGAGAGGTTGTCACCAGGACAGGATGACACAGACAGCAATAAAAACCTTACATAGGTTCTAACCCTTCCCTGTTTTGCTAAAGAGATATTGCATTTTGTCCCCAAAGAAGGCAATTCTGGGATTACCATTATTAATGTGGAGGGTTTTTAGTTCCATTTGACTTATTCCCTTTTCCCTGGCAGCTCATTTTGATGTGCATGATTTTGCGATGGATCTGTTACCAGGATGTTACACAAAGTAAGAAATTGCTCCAAATTGTATTAGTGCTACCACCATGCACTTCCAATAATCTGTAATTAGGGACTCAGCTAGGGGCTGAAGCCACACTGCACACCTACACTACAAAATTACTAAACTATTTGTTGAGGTCTGCCTTTTTGTGGTCAGGAGTAGATGATACGAACATAACTGGATGTAGTTGCATGAAAAGGGCACCAAATACTGTCCACGAGAATGAAATAGTGGCAACACCCTGAGAAACCAGGATTCTATTCATCACCCTTGCTCACTTCCATTGATACTTACCTTCACTGTGTTTCCCTCTCTAGTCACTCTATGGAGCCCTTGGGAATACACAATACTTATGGGGATGGAGAAACATGAAGTACTGTCATGTAGGGATGTGGTCATTAGTCCTGTGTAAGCTCCAACACATTGATATGGAGCTTACATAGGGTGCACACATGACTCCTCCTCATACAATGCAGGAGTACTACCTGATTATGTCAAGGAACATCACACAGCCTGGTGCATCAGGAAGAATAGGAGAGCACTGGAGACAACTGGAGCAGGGGTTAAGGTAAATAATGCCTCTTCATCTCCCCCTAGACTTAACAAGCATGTATCCCTTACTGTGCGTGCAGCCCCAGTGCAAGGGTTTGTTTTTTCATCCTGGAGTAGGGCTTTAATTGAGGGCTCCAGTAAGTGAGCAGGTTTAGGGCAGCGCTCGGGAAACACAAATACAAATTTAAGATGCCAACTCTGCAATCCCAACCCAATCCATTTAATCCACCAAAACTAAGCACAGCATGACAAATAAAGAAAATAAACTGATTTAAAAAAACAGCCAGCACAATACATAAAAATATAGTTTTTTTATATTTTTAATAAAAAGTGGTTACAGTTTCATCTTCAGTGAAAATACAAAGTTGTCAATTTGGTAGTGTACACAGATCAGAAATGGAATGGTTTTGGGTATAAAAATGGTTGTTAAGATGCGGCATGTTCACTTCATTCAAGAGAAATAACACTTCTGTAGATGAAAAGCAGAACACAATTTTGTCTATGCCTTCTCGTACTGACGAACAGAAACGATATCACCAAATGTAAGAGTCTGCAGAAAGAATTAAAAAAAAAGCTCCATTTATATCTGTTTTATATGTAAAATATGTTATGCTGAATATTATCCACAGTATATATAAAATATCCTTCTGGATTGCATGCTTCTATTTGCTTTAGTGCAAGGTTACTTCTCATATTATAGTTGCTTATTTTAATTAGAGATCAGATACATAGGAGAAATAATAAGCAGGGGAGGAAAGAAGATTAACCCCTTGTGAGCAACTGCCTTACATTAAACATATTAACATAAATGTATCCCAAAGGAGGAAACTGTTAACAGTGGTTCACAACTGTTCATTTTATGCTACTAAAATCAGGGCCTTTAGAATAAACAGAATGAATGGCAAATGGGGTCAAAAGTAACCAACAACAGGGCACTACCCAAAACTTCTAGGGTTATTATTACCCTATAATAATCTGTACAGTTCTGTGATTACTTCATGTTCTGCATCAGGCAAAGTTTTTTTGTTTTATTTTAATCTAATCATTGGTATTTTACAAACACGTGATGGTGGTAATGTAAAGACCAGATCAATATTTTTTACAACACAGATGGCTTTGACATAATTACTGAGCTAGTGATTAGCTAATTTGGGTCTAAGTAAGGATATTCATCCTAAAGCCTGAGACTCACCAGACCATCTCTAATTTAAATGTCTATATGCTTCCAATCAACTTCATAAAGAACTGAACGCTAATCTTTTAAAGGGATAGATTTAAATTATTGGCCTAATCAGATTCTTGGGAAAATGCTGTTCTAAGGTTTTCCATAGGATCCCAGACGTCTTGAAAATTAGTGATGAGCAATCCACTGGATTGGCATTGGACCTAAAGCGCTGCGCAAACTGTTGGCGCTATATAAATCCTGTATAATAATAATAATAATTAATTAAGCACTTCTCTATACATCTTTACTCAACACTATGTTAAAAATACTTATTATAACAACAAACAAGCAGTCACAACATATGTTTCTCCTTTTTTATAAAATGTATCCAAAACAGGTACAGAGACATTCACAGGTCTTACAGGGGAGATACATTGGCAATAAAATGCTGTTGCTCTGACTTGTCCTCCTACAAAATCAGTGAGTGGCTATATACTTACTTTGGAGTTGTTCCACACCCACAATTAAGATGAATTATATTTCTACCCCTTAGAAGTGGTCACCTCTGGGAGGCTCCCTACATCGAGATGCCAATAGCAATGCCCATCCAGTGCTTCCAAAGAAATTTTATGTCTCCAAATTACTCTTTAATAGATTGACAAAAGATGACTCACCAAAGGCAAAAGGAAAAAGGATTTCCCACTTTGAAAGTTCTTCGAGAGATCTTTCAGGACCAAAGAGAACAACGTAAGATATGCAGCCTGTTCTTATATAGTTAGGTTGAAAAAATAAAAGTCCATTCAGTCCAACCTTGTATGTTCTTGCATCCTGATATTGTTTTATAATTATTATTTTTAAATTAAAAATTATAAAACACTATTGGCATGAAAGGGCTGATCATCCAGACTACTCCAGGAACCTTCCAAAATGTTTATGCAAACATTATGTAAGTCAGGAGTGCTTCCCTACCTGCTAAAGCAGGATGCTTGAGGAGGCTCAACAACCTATTAGGAGGCTTGGAGATGGTCCCATGGCATAGGGGGAGAGGCATGCTTATTCTCTGTGTTTCAGAAAGCCTCTATTTGCATACTTACAATGGGTAAGCTTGTATGACACATTGGAGGTTAGTGGATGTCCAGATCTTTTAAATTTTCTTTACCTTTAGGCCATTCTCAGATGCCAGACATTACAAACTTCTGCGCTTCTACGCTTTTATATACTCACCATAACCATTTTGCCATCCTTTATTTCTCTTACAAATTTTGTTTCTTTACCATCCCACTTCTGTACATGGACTACTTTATCTCCTTCCAAGGTTACAGTAGACTGTTAAGAACAGATATAAAGTTACCAAAATGTAGAAACAAACTAAAGTTTAGGTCATAATACAAATCAGCTTTTTAAATGATTATTGCAGTGGGCTGTAATTAAGAGTCAATTGGGCTGGTTTAGTAAAGGAATAAAGACTCTTCAAGTAGCAACATTTATGTTCACTTAGCCTAATAAATACGGTGGAGCTGTGCTAACTTCAACAATCCAATCGCATATAAAACAAAAAAATGTGTTTCTGTAATTACCCTATGATTGCGTATTCATAGTGAACAACGCTTCACTTAATTTACTAAGCCTAGTGAACATATACTTCATGGACTGTCTCAACTCCTTTGGTAAATCAACTGTATTTAAAAATATTAGCTTTCAGTAACCTTTTATAGTCTCCAGAAAATAATTTATATTATTAAATGAAAATAGAGCATATTATACTATTATTATGAAATATATGGATATACACAGAACAACAACCTGCAAACAGTTTTTCATACAGCATAATTTCTCATTCAAGTTTGGCAAATAAACTAGATAATCTGTACCTACTACCACTGATTAGATCATTGGCATGGTCAAATTCAATTATTAGTAACTAAAAAATCAAAACCAAAGAGCAGAGTAAAGCTGTTCTTTGGTTTTGTTTTTTTCATTAGTAACAATTGAAGCTGTCTCG